TTACTTTTGCTGTACAGAAGCTCTTTAGTTTAATTAGGTCCCATTTCTCAATTTTTGCTTTTGTTGCAATTGCTTTTGGTGTCTTTCTCATGATATCTTTACCTGCCCCTATGTCCAGAATGGTATTCCCTAGGTTCTCTTACAGAGTTTTTATTGTTTTGAGTTTTACATTTAAGTCTTTAATTCATCTTGAGTTGATTTCTGTGTATGGTGAAAGGAAAGGGTCCAGTTTCAATATTCAGCAAATGGCTAACCAGTTATCCCAGCACCATTTATTGAATAGGGAAGTCCTTTTCCCATTGCTTGTTTTTGTCAGCTTTGTGGAAGATCAATTGGTTGTAGGTGTGCAGCCTTATTTCTAAGCTCTCTATTCTGTTCCATTGGTGTATGTGTCTGTTTTTGTACTAGTACCATGCTGTTTCTGTTACTATAGCCATCTAATATAGTTGGAAGTCGAGTAGCATGACGCCCCCTGCTTTGCTCTTTTTGTTTAGTACTGCCTTGACTATTCAGGCTTATTTGGGTCCATATGAGTTTTAAAATAGCTTTCCTAATTCTGTGAAGGATGTCACTGGCAGTTTGATAGGAATAGCATTGAATCTTAAAATTGCTGTGGACAGCTTAGAGCTGTCAGCCTCACCTGTGTTAAGACCAGTATTAAATCACTGACTTGAGACTGTTTCAGGTTAAATGAACAGGATGGTAAATACTGGACTTGAGAAGAGATGGCCAACTAATCTTTGCCTCTCCAGCTTTTTTATTCTGTAGAAAGAACATAAATTGTTTCTGGAGAAAGAATCGCTGGAGAGGCAAAGGTTGGGTGTTTGCAGTTGAAAAACTGGATGAGGAAAAAAGCTAGTACCTGAAGGATACAAACATTATGATATCATGTATATGAGGTTTAAAAACATGTGAAACAATCACCATAAATTGATTGTATGTACATACATGTAGTAAAATTAATGTGTGTGATACATGCATGTGTAACATGCAGAAAGTTGCGTATGAAAATGATACTTCTTCAGAATAGTAGCTATGTCTTTTGGATAAAGAGGAAAGGCAATTGGAGAAGGTCACACTGTGAGTGTCAACTGTAATATATTGCCTAACTTGAGGGGTGAGTACATGTATGTAATTTTTGTCTATACCTTTATGTAGGTCAGCAATATTTTCTAATAAAATAAAAAAAATTAAAAGAGGAAAGGGAGAAAATTGTCCCAATAGCTAGAATGTGTTTGAGGAAAAACATGATTTTGTAGACGTCGAGAAAAGGGTAAAGGATAAAGATTGAGAGAAGGGTAAAGGACAGAGCTTTGAGGGTAGAAGTCTGCCTACATTATGTAAAGCTTCCTGGGTACTCTAGTTAAACATACTATCTTTTCTCATATTCTCTGATAGCACATCTATTCTGACTTAACTACCATTGTTCACATAAATGTATGAATATCACTATCCTCTAGATAGTAAGTTTCTGAATGCTTCAGACTTTAAAGTGTTTTATTTATCTTTCCTAAAGTACCTAGCCCTAGGTTTTCACTGAGTAGGTGCTTGATAAATATCTTTTACAGTTAAGTTACTTTAATGCATCCACAACTCTTTGGTTATTGGTGTTGCCATTTAAAAATATATTATCAGGTAGTGTTTTATATTTAAGGCAGGCAGAAGATGGAGGGACACATTGTAAGTCAGAATGCATGTGGCCTTTTGTCACCATTTAAGATGGAAGGAGAGTCCAGATAGAAATTTATCCAAGTAATTTCATTTGAAGAGTTTTACATTGGATCTGATTGGTTAATGGTGGTGGGATTTCTTCTAATATAATTTAAAACTAATTTGTGAATCTTCTGTAAACCATACTGGGTTTCCCTCCATTATACAAAAGGCACATCCATAAATCTCTTTCAGATAAGCCCTTTTCACCCTGGGCTTCTGCTGAGACTGCTTAGAGATAAAAACCTTTCATCTTTTTATAAAGGCTATTGTTTTACGGAGCGTTTCTACATAGAGGTCTTTTGGTAACTTATGCAACAATAGAAAACTAATATACTGGGCTTAGCTGAGGGCAGCTTAGAAAACCTTAGATATCTGGATGTGTATTCTGAGTATCACCCAAGCATTCCTGATATATCCTGTTACTGACAGCTTTATGCTTTGTTTGTTTGCTCTTTGAGATGGTGTCTTGTTCTTGTCACCCAGGCTGGAGTGTAGTGGATCTTGGATCATCGCAATCTTCACCTCCTGGGTTCAAGCAATTCTCCTACCACAGCCTCCTGAGTAGCTGGGATTACAGGTGCCTGCCATTACACCTGGCTAATTTTTTGTATTTTTAGTAGAAACAGGGTTTCATCATGTTGGCCAAGCTGGTCTCAAACTCCTGATCTCAGGTGATCCACCCATCTGGGACTCCCAAATTGCAGGGATTACAGGCGTGAGCCACCATGCTCGGCCAACTTTATGGTTTTAAATTTCTTTGATACAGTAAGGAAGAAAAAAAGCAAACTTTAAAAAATACACCAAGTATTCTAAATTCGATCTGGTTTCAGATTGATAAGAAGGTATATTCGTCATGGTAGGAAATATTTTTTTATTTAACAGTCTATTAGTTGACTTAAGCCTTTCAGATGTCTTTATACATGGCATGTAGGCCTCTAGATGAACTATTGCTGAGAATCGTGCAAATATTACAAAAGTTAAAGGTAGTCCAATTAAATATTTGGTCTCTTACCCCTTCCGTTTCCTAACTCCCTGTCACACTTTGTTACCTAAACATAAAAACAATGCTTCCCCTTGGTTTGGAAATGGCCTCTTCAGCTTGATCCCATAGTTCCTCTTTCTGCAGGGCTTGGACCTAGTCTCTGCGTATGGCTAATGTATAACCACCAACCACCATGTCCCTCTACCCACACTCAACCGAATCCACTCTCTCTCCCACACATCTTGCTTTCTTCCCATATTTCATGCACAAATCCTCTTATTCACAACCACTTCATCATGCAAATAGCCACCCGGGGGCTAACTGCCATCAGCTGGTTCAGGCACACTGTGTGGAGCTCCTTTCTGATCAGTATAATTCTTAAGAATGGGAGGGTGGGGAGGTGGGGAGAGATAGCATGGGGAGAAATGCCAGATATAGGTGAAGGGGAGGAAGACAGCAAATCACACTGCCATGTGTGTACCTATGCAACAATCTTGCATGTTCTTCACATGTACCCCAAAACCTAAAACGCAATAAATAAATAAATAAATAAAGAAGCTTTGCTTCTCTAACCATGCTTAGGTCTCTGACCATGCTTATGTCTGAAGTTTCAATGTCTTGTTTGATTTTTCTCTCCTGTTACACGAAGACTGAGATGGTATACAAAACAGTTTGTTTTTATAGTTTAGTTTTTCATAGAGCAGAGACCAAGGAAACTACAAAGAAGCTGGACACCTGTCAGAATGTGCCTCCTGGCATCTAGACAACCTTAACCACTTAATTAGAAAAAAAATCAGTTATATTGCTAACTTTGGAAACAATATTAATGGAGAATTTTCAGAGAGAAAATGTATTTGCTTACTCTGAAAAAAAAGTAAAGGGGTGAGAGGTATAACAGCTAGCAAGCCACAATTATCTGGGTAAGGGAATGAACCCAAATGAAGCATTTACCATAAGCACTAGAAGGAAATAGAATCAGATCTATCACCTATAGGAGCCTGAACAGTGCTCCATACAGCATCCCAATGCGCCACAACCACTGCCAGTGCATTGGGTCTGCTAGGCCTTATGGATCAAGTGGCACGGCAGCCTGCATGGTAACCTGGTCCTATTGGAGAGCCCTTTCTTGATCTGGGCCTCCAATCAAACCTGGCAGCCTTTTAGGTTACTCAGTAAATGTGTGTGCTCTACAAATTTGTATGCTGTGCAAATGTGTATAGTTTATATTCCCAAATAAAGCACAGGATGACTTTAGAGTAAAAAGCCCACTAAGTATTGTGCAAGGTAGTAGGGACAAAACGTAGCAAATTGTTTTTTTCCCTCAAAAGGGATATTTCAATGTATTCTACGCCTCTGTAGAAAATTCACCAAGGAGGCCATTCCCTAAATTCTTGGGTTCATTTTTCACCCTCTGGTATGTATTCATCTTACCAAGGTGTCTAGGGTAGTTGCTACAACCTGTTCATCAGGTCCAATAAGCATGAGATCAGTGGGTCATCATACTGTCCTGTGGAATGAAAAGATGATCAAGCTCCATGAAGACTAGATTTTTGACATAATGGTGGAGAGTTGATACATCTCTGATATAGAACAGTGAAGGTAATTTCCTGGCCCTGCCAGCTGAAATCAAGCTACTTTATATGGACTTTACTATCAGATATAGAGGGGCAAATCTTTTTGCCCCTCCGTATCTGGTAGTAAAGGTACATCAGGTACCTTGTGATGGGTTTTTTTTTTTTTCCTGCAAAAATCACACCTTAAATAGCACATATATTTGGATTAGTCACCTGATTACTTTAAAAATAATTATTATTTTTGAAAATCCATCTCTCTCCTGAGCAAGCCAAATAGGAGAGTTGAATGAGAATGTATAGAGAAATCTCCACTCTGAATATCTGAAGTCCTTGATAGTGCTGTTCATCTCTGAACTTCCTCCAGGAATACATTATTGCTTTTGGTTTACATATTGGTAGGTAGAGGCAGTTGTAGTGGTTTCCACTTGTCTTGCCTATCATAATAGCCCATATTCTGTGATTCAGGAAACCAATGTAGGCATTCTTTCAGTTTTTGAGTATGTCTATTGCACTTACATATTCTATAATGGAGGCAACACAGGGAAGCAGGAGATGTGTCACTAACCTGAGTTAAACTCCACAGTGGCATTTTCAGTCTCTAGGAATTAGGGTTACATTACTGTCAGTTTCTAGTAATCTTTAAAAAGTCTAGTTATTTCCATCCACCCCCAATGCACAGTCACCTTGGTAAATGAATAAAAATTACTTTATAGACGCTTAAGAAGATTTACAGTACAGCTAGTGCTCGACTTATGACCACGGTCGGGACCGCGGACCGGTCGTAACACGATTTGGTCGTAAGTTGAGTAGGCTATATGTACAGTTGAAATGGTGCACGCGGAGATGGTAGTGCTGCCGGAAGCTGGTCCGCACTGTCGTACGCCCAGCTGGGCAACGTTTGTGCTGCCAGACACGGAGCAGTCGTGGTTAGTGATTGTGGTCATAAAGTCGAATGGTTCTAAGTTGCATAGGTGGTAAGTCGATCAATACCTGTATTTATTTTGGCTAGGGAGCAGTCTTTTTTCAAAGGAATCTGGCATCCTCTTAGTTCACAGGGCTTTGGATGAATTGGCTCATATATGGGAATTGATGAGAGGTTATGACTCTTTGTTTCAGTGATTCAAGACAGACTTCTATTCAGTAGACCTGGTGTTATTTAATTTATGAAGATGATGTCAACCAAAAAGTCAAACTCTCTAAAATATTTGAAGAGATTTATTTTGAGTGAATGACCATAGCCCATGGCACAACCCTCAGGAGGTCTTGAAAACACGTACCCAAGATGGTCAGGATGCAACTTGGTTTTATACATTTTAGGGAGATGTGAGACTTCAATCAAACACATTTAAAAAATGTATTGGTGTGTTTAAGAAAAGCACGACAACTGGAAGCAGGGACTTCCAGGCTATATTTAGATTTAAATTTTTTCTAGCTGACAATTGCTTGAATTTATCTAAAGACCTGGCATCAAAAGAAAGGAAATGTCTGGGTTAAGAAAAAGCATTGTGGAGACCAAAGTTCTTATTTCCAGAGGAAGCCTTCAGGTAGTAGGCTCCAGAGAGAATACATTGTAAATTTTTTTTTTTTTTTTTTACCAGACTTACAGTCTGTGTTAATGTTAATGCTGGTGAGGTATGATGAGGCCCGTTCAAACCCCACTTCTCATCATAATCTGAACCAATCTTTCAGGCTAAATTTTAAGAGTGCACTGGCCAAGGAGGAAGTCCATTCAGATGGTTGGGCAGGACCTTAGAATTTTATTTTTGGTTTATATTCTTCCCTTTTTGGCCAAGATTTTCCAGCGGCAACATCAAAGGCCATCAAATCTTTCTTTTGTTCAATAGCATTGCCAGGGTGTCATGGCTGCCTGCCCCCCATCTATCCTGTCCCTTGGTGGGATTCCCTATGGCCAAGGGACTTAGGAGTCAAAAGACTTATAGCCAATTATTTGTTCTAGATCAGATAGGAATGCGTGTGGACAGGCATTCATTATCTCTTAAAATTAATATTATTTTAACTAAAAATCCAACAAACAACAAAAGGCAAAGTTACAAAACTGACAGATTTTTAACTTTTATGTGTTGAGCTATTGCATTGATATAAGTTTGGAACTATAACCAAGTTTACATAAACATTGTTTAAAATTAATGTGTGTGTGTGTGTGTGTGTGTGTGTGTGTGTGTGTGTATCTTTGCAGCTTATAAATGGGAGTATTATATTATACCCACGAGGCTTTGTCACAAAGTATTTACTAGGTCCCATTTAGCGTGTCCAATTAACATATCTCAAAGAGGAGATTTACCTGCCTTCAGTTTTATCATACTAGACAGGGGAAAAGTCCTCAAGTTAAACACAATACCCATTTTTAGAAGACATTTAGATAAAAGGGTTACAACTAACTTTCATAAAGCCTGTTTAAACATATTAAATTTTATAATTCTATTAGCCTGTACTTTTTTATGTTCTATCCTTGGACCACTTTACCTTTCTTGGTGAAAAAGGGTTTGGGTTTCCAGCAGGGAGTTGCATCTAAAGACCCATGAGGGACAGCAAATTTGATAAGGCTTCTCAGACAGTCGCATGATTTTGTGGGAGGGGCATTCATGTAAAAGGGCCCTCTTAGCATCCAAATTTATCATGACCTAGGTAATAGACATATTCTGTGGGAGGATATCCTAGTCATCATAAAGCCATTCCTACATAGCTCATGTATGAAGCATATTAACTACTTCATCTATGGTGCTCCATTTGGTATTTTACACAGAGAGCTGGGTAGTCCTTTTTACAGGACAAACAGACCTTACAGTGGTGTTTATCTGGTCCACTGGGCTTATCACTCTCTCAGAAATAACCTCCTATGCATTTGGATTACATATACTCATCAGTAATTGTTCAATACTGAGTTGTGGGTCCTGCATCAATCCAAACAAGCCCTTAAATTTTGTAGCATTTAAAATTAAGGATTTTATCTTTAAAGTAGTTATGTTTATAATCCACTACAGTAAAAAGTTTTTAGAAAGCTGATGATACCAAGCTACAAAATGGAACAATACATTTACATTATACCTTCTAGTTTTAATAGTTACTTGGTTTTGCCTTCATTGACTATCTTCTTGGTAGCCACAGGTCTTGGAGTTAACTTTTGTTGCCCTAGTTTAATTGGGGTTTTTAAAAACTATTTAGTTTCATTTGCATAATTTTTCTTCATTTTAAAGCAGCTCTTAAAATTGTTTCCTAACTAGAAAAAAACGACATTTTCTGTTTTTCAAGCAAAATTGATATCCTTGTGTTTTATCAACTTTACCAAAACCCAAAATATTTTATGCACCTACTCTTTTAACTCTTAAGAACCCAAATTTCCAGTGGAAAAAAAAATGAGGTTTTAACATAACATGATTTTATTATTTTAAACTACTAAAGGGAATTTTGAGATTAAATTTGCCAAATTAATTTTACCAAAGATTACTATGGTTATGTGAATTAAAAGGCATCTGAGATAGTTTCTACCAATCTGATAACCACTTACTTTTTATAAGTCAATTGATTAGCTCTTTCATGTCATTTGGTAGTGAAATATTGCTTCCACATGACACATATAAAGATAAACAGCCATGTAGAATAAAAAGGGCAGGTTCAAAAGATGTTTCATTTCCGTTTTTTTTTTAATCCATCTCTTACTTTAGATAATTTATAAAAGTTACAGGAGCCAACGAAAGGTAAAGGAAGGAAATGTCATCCAAGGCCTTTTCAAAAGAGAAAGTTAAACTTTTTAGGTATTAGTCTGAAGAACTTCAAAGAGACAGATTATATTTAAAAATTAAAAACTTCTTGTATTAAAACTGTCAATTTTTAATAGAATCATGTTTTAACAAATTATTTAGTTTTGTATTAGTGTATTTTTAAATATCAAAGTCCCATTTCTAGAAAGACCATTATGATTTCTTCTTTATCTTAGCCAACTGAATTATATAACCCTTTAAAAAAAATGAATTCCTTTTTTCTAAACTTATTACTTCTTACATAGATCATTCACAACATTCTTGGACTGTCTATTTTGTCCTAAACATCCCTCTTTCTTGACCAACAATGAGATTATCTTATTTTAGCACAAAAATTTACCATGTAAGATTCCTTTTTATATAAAATTACTTTCCTTTTTAGCTTCTTCCCCAAAATACTTCCTTATATTCATAACTTTCCTACATATCTTATTTCCTGGTTCCTTTTACTTTGTTTTATATATAACCTTTGAATAAGCTTTGAATTATACAAAGATATTTACCTTTTAACAAGAATATTTTAAAATGTTTTTTTATAATTTTTAAATTGGAAATGACCCAAATATTTAATATATATTAAAAACCTTAGGTCCTACATTATAAGACAAGTTTGTTTACAACCATTTATTCCATTATATTTATCTAATTAATTTATTAATAGTTTACCTAGATTATTAACAAAAACTGTGGTAGTCATTTTTAAAGTTATTTCCCTGTTAACCATTTCTATAGCTGTGAATTTCAGGTGTTAAGTAAGAACCTTAAGGTTAATTAAAAGGGCATTTTCCCAATAACTCAGTATTTAGCTATATTCATTAAGCCAACAATATTTCATGTCTTATTTATACAAAATTACAGATGCAAAGCCCATTCTATCCTGGAAAGGGTTTTATAGCTTTATAACCCTTATGGCAAATCTTATACTCTTCTGCATGAATAAGCAGGAAACTACTTGATTAACAAATGCAGACAAAAATTCTAATAATTCTTAAGACATTTCTAATATTATTTTACCAATAATTTCCAAGTCAACTTATTTATTAAAGATTTTACTTAAGTCATGTGAACTTGAAAAAGCATTTGATTAGTTTTTTCTTTCTGATAAACTTTTTATTTAAGCACTTTTATTTTTCTTTAAGCCATTTACTTAGAGTTCTTTTATATATTTTTAGTAGTGAAACATGTACACAATATATGAATATAGACATATTAGGCATGCTAATAGAAGTACATCTTATAGATTTATAAGACCACAGTTTTTCTTATCTTACACTTTCAAATTGTTGATAACCTGTTTCATTACCCTGGGCAGCTGTCAGCCAAATAGTCATAAATTTGCATATTAAAGAAATCAACTCTGATAGCAAAATCTACATCTTAAAGTACAGAGAGAAAGTTCGATGTGTTCGAGGAAAATTAAAATGTACATAATTGCCAATTAAACATAAAATTATAGAAATCTATCATAAAGACCTGTTAGTGCTCCCCTCCCTGTGTCCATGTGTTCTCATTGTTCAACACCCGCCTATGAGTGAGAACATGCGGTGTTTGATCTTCTGCTCTTCTGTCAGACACACTGGGGTCAGTTGGGGGGAA